GTAGAAGGAAAAAAAATCAATTCGAAGGGAATTTTTGAAGAATTTCAGGAGAAAAAGTATAGAAGTTGTCAGACAAGTGATTTGAAAATCAGGCTACCCTGTCTTTTGACACACAATGTGTGCATGTTTTCTGGAGTTGTGTGGGTAATTGTATATGACTTATACACTCGCGTTGTAGACTTCCTCTTTTTTCCATTATACAGAACTGTATAGACTACATACAGTCAATCCCGACAATTGCCAGTTTGCTCCCTCATTCACGCATTTTGTGACAAATCACTCGTTATTTGCTTCTCTCCAAATGTAATGAGTATACAATTTTCTCCGACAAGTACTCTTTTGTCATCCATCTCCTTTTTCGAATATAAATTCCACATTATGCATACATTTATTGTTATTATTATTATCATTATTATTTATTATTTATTATTACTATTATTATTATAATTTTTTACCACTTCTCATTATTTATTATTATCATTTATTACCTATTATTGTTTTTGTTTTTTTTTTTTTTTTAATAATAATAAATTTAATACCTAATAATAAATAATAAATTTTATATTTTATTATCATTTATTATTATTACTATTCATTGTTACTATTATTATTACTATCATTATTATAATTTTTTATCATTATTTTGTTAAATAATTGATTAATTTCATTTTTTCGAATTTTTTTTTTTTTGAAAATGCTATTTGAAATTAATTGAATTCCTGTGGAAATTTTATTATTTATGAAAATAATTGAATTTTATCAATTTTTTGTTAAATAATTGAATTCTATCATTTTTTTTGTTAAATAATTCAATTTTATCCATTTTTTTTTGTTAAATAATTGAATTGTTTTGCGAAATTTGATGAAGATAGTAGGGAGAACACTAAGAAAACATTCTTTAAACTTCGCGTAACATTTATGGGGAATTTTTTTTTTTTTTTTTTTTTTTTTTTTTTTTAAGATAACAAACTATTTTCGGAGGAGAAAGAGAAATCGGTCCATTAAGATATGTGGGACATGTCCCAGATGAGAGGAACTCCCTAATAGGTATTAGTCCTCGATAGATTCTCGAGGAAACCATACGAGGGCTAATTTATATAATAAAAAATATGTATGCCAACCCCTCTCAGTGTGGCGTCGGTTGTCAAGCCTTGGCTTCTAATCTGACGTAGGCTCTCGTCACTTGACACAAAGATGCGTCAAGCAATTTTTTTTTCTTTCTTTCTTTTTATCATTTCTCCTTATTCTTCTTCTTCTTCTTTTTAAATCAACGCCCATTCAGAACCCTTTTCACCCTTGCATCAATATTATTCTTATTATTATAATGAAATTTGACACGAGAAGTCCATTTGACAGAGAGTTCAGGGTCTGAATAAAGTAGATCAGGTGGATTTCAAATCTCATGATTCTAATTCGAGAAGAAGTCTCCTGGCTTATTTGAATTATTTAAATTTTTCTTTCTTTCTTTTTTTAAACGCCCTAAGTCTATAAAAAGATTTTCATCGAGATTTTATAATGTTATTAGAATGTGGATGATTTAATATTTCTATTACAGTGGTTTTGTTATTGCTCTGCAGTATTTTTTTTTTTTTTTTTTTTTAATAACTTGTTTTATTATTTTTGTTATTTTTATTATTTTTAAATAACCGGCGTTAGTCTTTAGGCGTTAGTATTCTGTAGAATAATTAATATTACTACTACAGTTGCTACAACAATTTTTTTTTTTTTTCTTAATAACTTATTTTATTATTTTTGTTATTATAACGTATTTTTATTATTTTTTAAATAACTGGCGTTAGTATTCTGTAGATTATTTAATATTACTATTACAGTTGCTCCAACAATTTTTTTTTTTTTATAATAATTTATTTTATTATTTTTGTTATTATAACGTATTTTTATTACTGTTAAATAACCGGCGTTAGTATTTAGGCGTTAGTATTCTGTAGAATAATTAATATTACTATTACAATTGCTCCAACAATTTTTTTTTTTTTTTTTTTTTTTTTTTTAATAACTTATTTTATTATTTTTGTTATTATAACGTATTTTTACTATTTTTTAAATAACTGGCGTTAGTATTCTGTAGATTATTTAATATTACTATTACAGTTGATCCAACAATTTTTTTTTTTTTTTTTTATAATAACTTATTTTATTATTTTTGTTATTATAACGTATTTCTATTATTGTTAAATAACCGGCGTTAGTTTTTACGCGTTAATATATATTCTGTAGATAAAAGTTGCTATTACAGTTGCTCGAATTTTTTTTTTTTTTTTTTTTTTAATAACAAGTAGGAACAAGTATTTTGTATTTCCTGATTCATTAGTCTTCTTGGTTGTCGCCACTCGTTTTGAGAATCGTTCTACAACCGAATTTTCTAACTATTCCAAAAATTTCTAATTTTATTTTTCACTTTCGTTACTTCCTTTGAAATTTAAATCATTTTTAATAATTTTATAATATTGAGTCATAAATTCGTGGTAAAAATCAAAAATACCAAAAATACTGATTCATTATCATTATAGTTTTTATATAGTAGAGGAAATTTGTTGTCACTGCAGGGGAAATTAATGATGAAATTTTCGCTAAATATCGCCAAGTTTTTTTTTTATTTCTCTGTTATGTATACGCTGATAGAATGAAATATGTTTTGATTATGAATAAGCTAGAAATTAATTGAAAATTTAATTCAACTGAAAGGCAGTGGAATAATTTTGTAACCTTGAGTTTGTGACCCACTTTCTTTCGTTTCCACGGTGAATTGACAAATTTTCAAGTTTTCAAAACGAAAAACTTTGATACTTTTTTTTGTATAATCTCTAATTATTAGATTAAGCGAATAGAGAAAGAAAGCGGTTCTTTTTTAAATCTAATATACAAATACGGAAAGCAATAGTGATACGCACGATAAATATATCCGCGTTCTTGGACATCGGCCAAAGAGTGTTATTTAAAATTCTCAGAGTCCCCTCTTTGGTTTTTTTTCAGAAAACTGAATTTTCTTTGTCAGATGGCAATTTTGTGAAAAAGTGCGGTTTCTTTATAAGGTTTGATTAAAATCAACCTAATCGACTAATATCTACGTATAATAAATGTATTAATATAAAAAAAAAAAAAAAAAAAAAAATTCGAGCAACTGTAATAGCAACTTTTACCGACAGAATATATATTAGCGCGTAAAAACAAACGCCGGTTATTTAACAATAATGAAAATACGTTATAATAACAAAAATAATAAAATAAGTTATTTAAAAAAAAAAAAAAAAATTGTTGGAGCAACTGTAATAGTAATGTTAAATAATCTACAGAATACTAACGCCGGTTATTTAAAAATGATAAAAATAATAAAACAAGTTATTAAAAAAAAAAAAAAAAAAAAAAAAAAAGAAAAAAAAAAATTGAAATAATTAGAAACGAAGCATTTGATTTTCAAGAGCCACTTTTTATAAATAAAATTTTCTTTTTTAAAGTATCGAGTGCAATGCCTGTAAACTATTTTTTACAGTATTTTATATTTTACATTTAAAATTTTATTTTTCTAGTATTTTAACTATTCTCCCATATATACTATTTGAATTGGGGTATTAAAAGAAAAAGAGTTTCAGCAACATAAAAGGGGTGAAAATAGAACATATTTACTGAAAAGTGAAGCTTGAGATAATCATATAATCCGAGTTGATCTAGAATAATCTGTAAATTCAACAAGTGCAGGCTTGAATTTATTTCTGAAGTGCAATAAATCTTGTAAGAGGGAATTTCCTTTTTCCGCGTGTCGAATTCAGTTGTGAAATATGCCCTGGTGTGTCTGTGTTTGTGTATATATGAGAGATGTATCTTGTTTATTTTTCTCTCAATTGAAAACGAAAGTGTCAAAAGGCAATGATCATTAATTAAAAATTTGTTTTTCATACTTTCAACCTTTTTTTTTTGTTTTTATTTTTTGTTTTTATTTTCAAAAAAATAGTGATCGATTTTATTGAGTTTGAAATAATAATTTTTTTTTGCAAATCTCTCTTTTATCCTTTGAAAATTTTTATTTTCGTTTCCACGTAATGTTTTTAGTAAAATGTATTTTTGATAATATCACTATGCCAATGACCTTGTGGTCGTGACCGAATTTCACTCACGGATTCTAGCCAAAAGTTGAAAACTTGAATTTTCGAATTTCACTCGACCTATGGGAGTTTTTTTTTTTTTTTTTTTTGGGCAAAGGTGAAACATTTTATGTTGGGGAAATGTAAAAAGAACTCATAAGTTCGATTCGGAAAATTACTAAAAACCATTCAAACAAAAAAAAAAAAAACTATTTAAAACATTAAGGATTTTTTTTGTAGTCAGCTCACTCACCGTTCGAAAAAATAACAGGTTTTTTTGTAGCGTTAAGCAGAATCGTTGTTTTACTCCATTCCTGCTTGACCCACTAAAAACCGTTCGAAAAATAAAGGATTTTCTTCGTGGTCTGAAATGGGTGCGGAATTAAACCCAAAGGTACGTGGGGTTGACCACTCGAACATTGAGGGTTGGGGTACGATTTAACTTGACCTGGTGAAAGACTTCGATGCAGTGGTAAATAGGCATCGAAGTAGATCTCCTGGTCATAGTGACATCGTTGGCAAAGGTCCCATTAGTCGAGCCTAACATGCCGCAAGTGTCAAGTCGGCGAGGCTTATTTTTAAACCCTCATAAGAGACTTCTAATATTAGTCTTAGGGAAAGGAAATTAAAAAACAAACCGAGAAAGTTGGACCTTGGGGTCCAACACAATCCATCGTTTTCTAATGTAAAAACCCAGTTTCCCATCTGAGTTCGAACCCATTTCAGACCACGAAGAAATCCTTTATTTTTCGAACGGTTTTTTTAATCTTGACCATGGTAAATATTCAGAACCTTAGGTTCGCTGACTTCTGAAAGAAATCAGCAAAGACTGAGCCTTAGTAAGAGATTACTAAGAATTTTACTCTTGTCAACAATTAAAGATTGTTTTTCGTATTTCAGATCGAAGCTTCTTGGTAGCCAACGCTCAACACGGACTATGTCACATAATATATTGCTCAGACGGGTTCTGCCGATTAACGGGGTTCTCGAGAGCAGAAGTCATGCAGAGGCCGGCGGTGTGCGAATTTCTGCATGGACCAATGACATCGCCACATGCAGTCGCTGCATTGCGGGACGCACTTTTGGCCGGAGACGAAAAACACTTCGAAATACTTTACTACAGAAAAGACGGTGAGTATCTTCCACTGAACCATTCATACGGTTCGATAAGTTGGCGATTTTTTGACGATTCTTCCACTAAACCATTCATACGGTTCGATAAGTTGGCGATTTTTTGATGATTCTTGACGATACTTGACGTTACTTGACGATTCTTGACGATAACGGTCGTTAGCATCAGCAGAGTAAAGATAGGTTAGCATCATCAGATGGTTAATTAAGTAAACATGGTTAATTAACCAGTAAAGTTTAATTTTCCCCAGGTACCTGTTCACCGTTTGATAAAAGAGGCAGTTTACCAAAAAAACAGGGTCGAGGCTTAAAAAAGATTTGGGTTACTTTAGAGAAGAGCTTAAGGATAATTAAACCAATTTCAGAGGGAGAATTATGAAAATGAAGACCGGACATAATCCCTTTGCTCTTCTAACTAACAGTGCAAAGGTTGTTGTTGTTATCAAGAAAGGGATGTGGCTTCTTTATGCGTTTGAAATATTACCATAAGAGGCGAAAGGTCGAGAGGGGTTTAATTTAAATTAAACCGAGAAGGGGTCGTATTCGTATAACACCAGAAGGATGATTGCAGTCGTTAGTGTATATTCTGAATAGGAAATATCGAGGTGTATTTCACAACTCGAGGAGGATATCCTGAATTCCTTAGACACGCGAGCCACAGTCCTCTGGCTCTCTCTCTCTCCCCCAAGAGACACATTGTTTCCTGAAACAGTCCAAAAATAGACGGAAAATTATTGTACTGTTGCCAAATTGTCATCGAAAATAGTTATTCATGATCTTGTTTTTTTGTTAGGATTTTTGGTTCTGATAACAAACTGAACGAAGCAGAAGTTGGTCGTGAAATTTGGAAGTTGCTAAAGTAGCAGAAGTAGCAAAAGTTGTAAAAGTAGTTAAAGAATTTAAAGCATCAGAAGAAACAAAAATCACCGATGTAGTGGAAGTAGTTAAAGAATTTAAAGCATCAGAAGAAACAAAAATTAAGGAAGTAGTAGGAGAATCAAAAGTAGCAAATGTTTTAAAGTATTAAGACTAGCAGATGTAGTAGCAGTATCGAAAGTAGCAGAAGTAGTAAAATTTCCAAAAGCACCCGAAACAGCAATACCAATAAAACCAACACCGAAAAGAACTCCAGAAGTACATTCCAAAAATAGGCTTGCGACAAATGAAACAAAAAAAAATTTGCCTCCACTACTTGTAAATTCAAGGAGCACCCTTGGGAAGCACATACAGACATGGTTTATTTAGAGCGGGAAAATTAAATTTGTTCCCGCCGGGAAACAGTCGATTTGCACACACTCATTCCATTCTCTCTCTCTGTCGATGCAGTAGTGTCTGACCTTAAGCGTTACTGGGTGAAGATCGATATTCAACTACTGTATAATTAATCATAGTCATATCCCGAGGTCTCTCCGGTCTTGTATCTGTATACATATACACATCGGCATCCACCCCAGTTCAACCCCTTCAGTGACCTCTTGTTAATTTTCTCTCACATCTGTTTTCCAATTGTCACCAATATTCCGCGTTTGTTCCACTTTTCGAACTGTTCTTTCTTTTTCGATGTTTCGACTGTTCTTTCCTTCCACTACTTCTTTCTTTTTTGATGCGTCGACTATTCTTTCTTTTTTGATGCTTCGACTATTTCTTCTCCGATACTATGACTATTTTTTGCCCCCAATCTTTCGACTATTTTTGAATTGGGAACCAAAGTCTAAGAGGGACGCATGATTATTCCCCAAATGTCATTTTTCCGAAATGTCATTTTACCGAACTGCACTTTTGCGAATAGTCATTTTTGCGAAAAGTCAATTTTGCGATATGTCACTTTTGCGAATTGTCATTTTTGCGAATGGCCATTTTTACGAATTGTCAATTTTCCGAAAAGTCATTTTTGCGAATCGCTATTTTTACGATTAGTCAATTTTTCGAAAATTCATTTTTGCGAATTGTCATTTTTACGAAAAGACCTTTTTGTGAAATGTCATTTTTGCGAAAAGCCATTTTTACGAATTGACATTTTTGCGAATTGTCATTTTTAAGAAATGTCATTTTTGCGAATTGTCACTTTTGCGAATTGTCACTTTTGCGAATTGACATTTTTACGAATTGTCAATTTTCCGAAAAGTCATTTTTGCGAATCGCCATTTTTACGAATTGTCAATTTTTCGAAAAGTCATTTTTGCGAATTGTCATTTTTGCGAAAAATACAATAGTGAATTTATAGACCTACAAGTTTTCTATTGTATTTTTCGCAAAAATGACAATTCGCAAAAATTACTTTTCGGAAATTTGACAATTCGTAAAAATGGCGATTCGCAAAAGTGACAATTCGTAAAATTACATTTCTTAAAAATGACAATTCGCAAAAATAGCTTTTCGAAAAAATGACAATTCGCAAAAGTGATATTTCGCAAAATTGGCTTTTCGCAAAAATGAGTATTCGCAAAAGTGCAGTTCGGTAAAATGACATTTCGGAAAAATTACATTTGGGGTTCAAAACCCCTTCGGATTTTAGGCTCCTAACTCAAAGGGGTTTTGGAGCCTTGGAAATAGTTTGCCATCGAGGGGGTGTTGGACCCTTGAGAATAGTCTGACATCGAGGGGGTTTTTTGGACCCTCAGGAATAGTTTGCCATCGAGGGGGTGTTGGACCCTTGAGAATAGTCTGACATCGAGGGGGTTATGGACCATTGGGAATAGTTCGACATCAAGGAGTTTTCGAACTGTTGTAAAGAGTCTGACATCATGGGTGTTTTGTACTCTCGAAAGGATTTTGGTATTAATTTTTGAAAAGAGGCATAAAAATCGACGTGGTAGTTGGATGATGTTGGGACTATTCGACAGTTGTGGCGATATGTCTCGGAAGTGGTATAGTTAAGGTATTTATTGGCAGTGTTAGTGTGCCATTCGGTTGTTTATTACTATTCGTGTGCTCCACAAAGTTCTGCATGTGATTGACACCTGTGTTTAGTGACGTTGACACAAGGGAGTATAACATTTTAGTACCACCGGTGGTGGTGCTCCTTCTGTGTTCCCAAGACCTCGATACAAAACGATAAATACAAGTCTCATTCATCGAACGCGTGTTCGATCAATAGACCTATGTTACTACCGACAATCTATTTAGCATACATTTCTGACAAGTAGGTAGCTGACTTTTTCGATTTTCGTTGTTAAAACAGAACCAAACATTGTATCCAAATTGAAACCACAAAACAGTGCCAAAAATTGTATTCCAACTGAAACCAAAACAGTACCAAAAATTTTATCCAAATTGAGACCAAAACAGTACCAAAAATTGTATCCAAATTGAAACCAAAACTGGAACCAAAAATTGTATCCAAAGTAGTACCAAAATTTGTGCTAAAATTACCAAAAAATGGTACTGAATCTATCAAAATTGGTTCTAAATTGGTACTGTTCTGTTTTGGGGTGCTCGGAAGAAAAGCTCCTTTGGGAAGGTGAGCGTGTTTTATTAAAAATATTCAACAGATTGTTAGTGAGGAGCATTTTCGATAAATTTCGGATTGGGGCATCTTCATGTCGTAAAGGATTTTTGCTGTTTAATCCTAGCGTCTATTCTCTAGGTGCGCAGTTCTGAAGGTCTGACCTAGTTACTCTGTTGCATCTTGTGTTAGACAATGGAGGAATTTTTATAAACCTCGGTAATTGAGACAAATGTGTTCAAGAAGATTTCTTTCCCGGTGTATTAAAGTAAAGTCGTAAATAACCTTTTCCTTGCTCTTCCTCTTCTTCTTCTTTAAACCTTTCTGAAATTAATGATGTCAATATCAAGAAAGGTTTTAACATTTCCTAAAGTTAATATCAGGAAAGGTTTAAACCTTTCCTGATATCAATGTTAGGAAAGGTTTAAACCTTTCCTGACATCAATGTTAGGAAAGGTTTAAACTTTTCCTGATATTAATTTCAAGAAAGGTTTAAACCTTTCCTAACATTGATGTCAGGAAAGGTTTAAACCTTTCCTGATATTGACATCATTAATTTCAGAAAGGTTTAAGCCTTTCTGATATTAATGATGTTAATATCAGGAAAGGTTTAGGATTTAGGTTCTTATGGTCATTGGACCAAATTATCAAATCATTTTGATCAAAAATCGTCATTTTTGGCCACAACGGTTGTTAAGTATCAGCAGAGGGTTTAAATCGAAAAAAAGGAGAAAAGAGAAAAGGAACCATTTCCCAATTCGACTGCTTCATTTGCCAGAGGGCAAATGTGTGCGACGTCACTGTGAGCTTTTTCCGTTCCCACCATCACCACCACCCCCAAACTACATCCTGCGCTCTAATGCTCTACTCTCACTTCTCCAGCGCGCATCAGCAACAACTGCGGTGCATTATGGCTCACCTCTTCACCACACAGGACAATGAACTTCCTAACGGCGTTTTCAGCTCGGAGATAGTAAAGAAAATCCCCTCGCTAATTTCAACTCCATTTATTACACTTTCCCCCATGGTCCTTATTCATTACCATAAATATGAGTAGTTACAAGTTATTTTAAGATGCAATGGCAAACGTGGGCATAATTTTTCATCATGTTGAACATGGTCCAGAGTAGAGTCACGTGTGTACGGATGCATTTTGCTTGTACGATTCGTGTCATTTTGGAACATCAATCAAATCCTTTAAAACGATTCAATTATTTTCAAAATAAATATTCAATCATGTCGATTAGTTCGGGGGTTCGGGTGGTTCGATTAGTTCGATTAGTTCGGGTGGTCAATTGTGTCGACTAGTTCGGTGTTCAATTACGTTGGTTAGTTCCATTATTTCGACGAATTCGGTGGTCAATTCTGTTGATTAATTCGGTGATCAATTACGTGGTCTGTCGATCATTTCGGTGGTCAATTCCATGGTCAATTATGTCAATTAGTTCGTTGGTCAATTACGTCCTTTTATTATTCAATTTATCTCCATTATGTTAATTACGTCCGTTACTATTTCGTGTAAACTCGGGAAAGTATTTCGGTTGTTCACTTTTGT